AGGAGCTTCTCCAGACTCCTCACTCCCACCAGAAGTAAGACTCCAAGCCACCCTCCTGGACACATAAGGTAAGCTAACAGGAGGGTGGCTGGAGACATAAAAAATATCACTTTGTATGAGTGTGTATATGAGTGTGTATGTGTGTGTGTGTGTGTGTGTGTGCATGAATGTGTATGTATGTGTATGAATGTGGGTATGTATGTGTATGAGTGTGTGTGTATGTGTGTAGGAGTGTGTGCGTGTGTGTGTGTGTATGTGTGTATGAGTGTGTGTGCGTGTGTGTATTAGTGGTGTATAAGTGTGTGTGTGTAGGAGTGTGTGTGTATACGTGTGATTATATGTATGTGTATGAGTGTGTGTATGTGTTTATGAGTGTTTGTGTAAGTGTGTGTGTATGTATATGTGTAAGTGTGTGTGTATGTATATGTATGAGTGTGAGTGTATGTATGTGTATGTGTGTGTGTGTATGAGTGTGAGTGTATGTATGAGTGTGAGGTAGAGAGGGGATATTATGTGCAGACACTAAGACAGGCCAAGAGTAATTGACCAAAGCAAAAATGGTGCATGTCTTATTTACCGATTTTGAGCTTTCCTAATAGTACACAGATTTGTGTGTGAGTGTGTGTATGTGTGTGTGAGTGTGTATGTGTATGAGTGTGTGTGTGTGTATGTGTATGTGTGTGAGTGTATGTATAAGTGTGTGTATGAATGTGAGTATGTGTATGAGTGTGTGTATGAATGTGTGCAGGGCCGGACTGGGAACAGAAAGCAGCCCTGGGAAAAAATAATTCCAGCCCTCTAATTCATTGTGTCACATAGTATGCTTATATTGTTTATATGTATGTGCTTTGGAAACATTTTGTCTTAGCTGCAGCCCCTCGCTCCAGATGATCCATGGGTGTTACAGTGCTGTAACACCTACCCTCCAAGCCGCCCCCTGTCTGTTGAGATTGGCTCTGCTTGGGGACAATTCTTTAAGCAGGGAAATACTCCATGCCAATATGAGCATATTGGCATCAGTGTGTCAATTGTATAATTTCAGCAAATATATATATATATATTAAAAGGATGTTCTGCATTAATAAATCACACTAGTTCAATGGCACACACACACTGACTTCAGAAAAGCTCACTGACACACACACGCTCACTACGGACAGGCTCACTGACACAAACAAGCTCACTACAGACAAACTCACCGATACACACAAACACTCTCTGACTCAAACACAAGCTCACTACAGACAAGCTTACTGCCGCAAACAAGTTCACTGACAAACATTCACTCAAGCACACTACAGATTAACGCAGTGGCAAACACAAGCTGACTACAGGCAAGCTCAATACACACACACAACCTCTCTGACCCGCACAAGCTCACTAATAACAAACACAGAACCTCTCTGACCCACACAAGCCTACTACAGGCAAGCTCACTGATACACACAAGCTCACTACAGACAAGCACACCAACACACACAAGCTCACAACAGTCACGCTTACTGGCACACACACAAGCTTATTACAAGCAAGCTCACTGATACAAATAAGCACACTACAAGCTCACTGATATACACAAGCACACTACAAGCTCACTGACAAACACAAGCACACTACCAGCTCACTGACACAGACACGCACACTACTAGCTCACTGACACACACAAGCTCACGGATTTGTGGTACCTTGGATGGACTTAATTTTACCTGTATTTGATTTTATATGTTTTTGAGCTTTTTGAGTTAATAAATAGTTTTACTGTGATCCGGTATCCTGGAATATTTTAAATTTGTTATCCAGAGATCGCCAGGGATAACTCATCTTCATCCTGTATATCAATACAAGGTGTCCAAAGCCCTTAGTCTGAGTCAGCTTACATAAGTGACTCAGAAGCATGTGAGTGAAACCAATTATATATGGTTATTTTATAAATTTAAAACAATATTACCCTATGTTCTTTTTTTCTCTTCCTTTGTTTCATTGTTCTAGCTATTTACTCAGGACGATACTGGTAATATAGTTTTTTGCATGTATTGAGTGCTCTCACTATTTTATTATTTTTTATGCACTTTTATTCTTTGTGGTTGAGTGATTCACACTTAGTGATAGTAGCACCAATTTTACTGTTTTTCCCATATTTCTAATATTTTAGTGTGTATGAGTATGTTTATGAGTGCGAGTGTATGTATGAGTGTGAGTGTAAGTGTATGTGTATGAGTGTTAGTGTGTGTGTGTGTATAAGTGTGTGTGTGTCAGGGTGTTTGTGAGTGTGTGTGTGTGTGTCAGGGTGTGCATCTGTGTGTGTATATATATATATATATATATATATATATATATATATACATATATGTCAGTGTGCTTCTGTGTCAGTGTGTGTGTCTGTGTGTCAGGGTGTGTGTTTTTATGTGTGTTTGTATCTGTGTCATGGTGTGTCCATGTATTAATGTTTGTGTGTGTCAGGGTGCATGTATGTGTATGTTTGTGTGCATCTGTGTGTGTATGTGTCGGTGTGTCTATGTGTGTGTGGTGCCTTGAACCTAAAAAGTTTGGGAACCACTGCTCTAGAATGAAAATAAAACGTATTTATGCAAAGTACAAAGTATGAAAGCACCAATAACACTTGCAGATATTTTTAAATATAGGAAAAATAAACAAAATGGAAAATAAACACCAATATACCCACTGTGGAAAGCATAGCACATCAAGCAGTATAATAATTCCAAGAGGACAAGGGCTTTTCAAAGAATGGGAACATGTTATGCACAGGTGTGGTGAGCCTATTCAAGATGGTTATGGAAAGAACTACCGATTGTAAACATTGAGACACCAAGACCCATCTGCACACTAAGACTATTTAGTTAAAAAGCTTTAAAAAATGGTGAGGGTGACTGTCAATGGGCGTTGAGGAGAAGAAGTTACAAGTGTCCAGGTCAAAGGGATGACACTATTTTTAAGGCTTTAACTATTACAATTTTAATTTTAATTTGTGAGAGCCTTTTTCAGAATCAGTTGTGATTAGTTAATTTGGTAGTATTCTCATGCCACACTACGTGCCAGCAGAACTAGCACCAAACCGCCGGAAGAATACTCCTCGGTGAAAATATATGCAGATTTATCGCAGCTACACTTCGGAGATGCAAATTGTTCCAGCCAGTGCTTGATATCCTACGGAATAATTTCATCAGATACAGATGGGGATTCCCCTTCAAGCTCCTAGTCACACGGGAAGGAGGCATTAAAGTCCTACAGACACCTGAGGGACGCCAACCTGTGAACACTCCTAAGCTGCAACGGAAAATCTCCTCTGACTGGAAAACAGTATAGGCCACTACGATGCTTGTTAAGCAGCATGGACAAGACGCTTGAAAAGTCGCAAGTATACCTGCAAAATCTATTGTCTGATCTTGCAAAACTTTCTAACCCCTTGACAATGGACAGAGAATTGTCATAATATTGTTAAAATGTTCAAATAGTTTAATGGTTTAAATACTACAGTATTGTGTAAATGTTCGGCAGTCCATTAGGCATGGTGGCAGCCCATTTAAAGGAGGGATCTCATTAGCAGGGTCAAGATGAAAGCCAGAGTCCAGATATCCACATAGCGTAGCTTGCTTGTCACCCTAGTGCCGTTCAAGTGGCTCATGAGTGCGCAACTGTAGGCATTTCACATATGGATGTTGGGACAACTTGCTGCTGCCGCATCTGGCAGAAAGCTGGTGCCCCCCTGAGGGAAAGCAGCTACTTTCCCACCTACCAAAGACTGTTAGGATGGACGTCACCAGAATTATAATATATAAAAAAAAAAAAACCTTTCTTGTTACAAGGGAAGTTAAGCTAATAGAATAGCTTTAAGGATAGCATACTGAGACTGCATGACAAAAACTGGCTTATATACGTGTAATGGGTAGCAGCACTTACACCTGCCTATCCAACATAAATATGCAACCTGGCAATGTTATCTCACTAGACTGTCCAACTAGAGGCACCCATGGTGATCTCCATACCCAAGTGCAGTAAACCCCAGGCCTTGATAAAAACCCACCAAGTCGAGCCCTTAGCCATGACAGGAGATGGTATTTTCCGATACAAGAGAAAAGTTGTAAATACTTATGTTTAGTTATCCCTGGTTATCCCCCCTATCCCTATTCAAGTTCAAATCCTTCTCTAAGAACTTCCCAATATGTAAGAGGCACATTACTCAAGGGAATACACCATACCTCAAATCACCATGGCCACTTAGATCGGTGGCAGGGAGACACAATAAACACAAAACTTGCAGCGGCACAACTGCACATACATATAAAATATGAAAATAGTTACACATAATGTGCAGGGTGCAAACACACCACACAAAAGAAGACATACTAGAAAATGCAAAGCGTGACATGGCAGACATACTGTGTATTCAAGAAACACACTTTGTAAATAATAGGATACCCAAGTTTGGTTTGCAAGGCACATACGTCTAAAACTAGAGTGGTATCGTTCCTGATACACAAATCAGTTGCCTTCGAACTTCTACAATTAAAGGATAGTCAGGGATGGTTTCTCATACTACACTGCATACTCAATACCCTACCCATTGTCTTGGTGTGGATCTTTGGTTCACCAATGTAACTTTCTACACAGTGTACTCTCAAAATTTGCCTCCATCACAGAACAACTCAGTGATTGCGTGTGGGGATATCAATCAAGTGCTGAACTCAAGAATAGACACAACAATTCCTCGCAAATCTGTAAGGCACATTACGCTATCCAATGAATGTAAAGCTATCACCAAATTAATCACAGAATATGGGCTCCATGATGCATGGAGAATCCTACAACCCGACAGGGCTGATTTTACCTTTTACTCCTCAGTTCACAAATCACACTCTAGAATTCACTTGGTGCTAGTCTCGGGTACCCTGTTGCCACAGATTGTGCAATGTGTGATAGGAGACATTCTATGGTTATATCACGCACCGATCACACTGACCTTAACCCCTTAAGGACCAAACTTCTGGAATAAAAGGGAATCATTACATGTCACACATGTCATGTGTCCTTAAGGGGTTAAAGGACAGTTTTCAATTTAGAGGACTGACACCATAGCGCTTCAATGACACGTTACTATACAACATACCTTTTACGCAGACACTAGAAGATGAGATATCCACATAGTTTACCACAAATGACACCACGGATGTCACGCCACTAATGCTCTGGCAAGCACACAAATCTGTTATCAGAGGCTTGATAATCAACAAAGCCTCATATCTCAAATGCAAATCCCAAAATGAATACATTGAATTACTTAGAATATTAAGATACACCACAATAGCCAATAAACTAAACCCCACTGAACAGGCCACCCAACTTATAGCCTGAATCAGACAATGACTAAATGATATACAGCTAGCAAAATCATCCTATGTACTACAGAAACTGAAAGTCCGCACATGTACACAGGGCAAAGAAGCGGGGCCAACATGTTAAGAACTGGCCAACATGTTAAGAAGCAAATACTTGCACTCAAACGTACCTCATATCCTCACAACTACAGGGCAACAAAATATGCCAACCCCAAGAAATAGGCAATGCTATGGTGGACTGTCATCCATTGTACAACCTCCGAGAGGTCCACACCGTACACCAACCTACCAACACCGACATTGAACAATTGCTAGGACAGACCATACTGCCAAAACTGATGACCACCCAAAAAGACACCTTTACAGCCCAATTGACCATTAAAGAAATCTCAGATACAATATATTGTTGCCAAATGGGAAATCCTGCGGCCCAGACGGCTTCTCAAATTCCTACTACAAACGATTCAAGCATATAATAGCCCCCAAACTAGAAAGGGCAATATCCTGCCTGAAATGCTCTTAGCACATATCTCCACTCTTCCCAAACTGGGGAAACCCCCCAACAAATGCCAGCATTTACAACTGATATCACTGTTGAACACAGATATCAAAATTCTATCGAAAATATATGCCAATAGATTGTCCTCCATCATCCCTACCATTGTTCACGAGGACCAGGTGGGATTTGTGGGAGGCAGACAGGGACCAGAGGGTACTAGGAAGCTGTTAAATATCTTAAGTGGGTGGAGGGGAGGGGGCCCCGTGCATACTGGTCTCCCTCAATGCCAAAAAGGCATTTGACATGCTGCACTGGCCCTTCCTCCTCTCGGTCCTTGAGAAATTTGGGTTCCCCGGGAATTCATCTCCCTGATTTTAGCATTGTATTCCCACCCTGCAGCTAAAGTGGTTAACAGTGGTTTCACTTCCAAGCAATTCAATATCACAAACAGAACAAGACTCTGTCTCCATTATTATACATTCTCAGCCTAGAACCTTTAACACAACTCATCCGAGACCATCCAGATATACACGCTATCAAAATAGGTGGTGAATACAATCTTTTTTTGCGGTTGACATTTTCCTCACATTAGAGCAGCCGCAAATATCCTTACCTAATATACATGCCATAATACAACGAAACGGAAATTGCTCTTATTATAAACTAAACTTTAAAATGCATGTACAGTTTGCACTTTTTGTTGTGTGTTATATTTTTTCATGTTATTAGGACAAACTAAATTCTTGTGTAACAACTGATCTATTGCATCATACAAAAATCCTAACTAAAACGTAATTTGACTTTTTTAGTTGGAGCAAAAAAATGAATCTTCTTTTACAAAGACCACATAGTGACTGATTTTTTTTTGGGGGGGGTTTCATTGGGAGCTCTACTGCTTTGTGGTTTATGGAATACATGATACACCTCTTAGGTTTCCATTTTTAGATGAATATCATAATGCATACATGGCTGTATTTTTGTTGTAGTTGTCTAAAATAGGACAAATACAACCTGGAATAAACATTTCAGATACACAACATCAGTAGATGTGAAATGCTCTATCTATACTCAAAAGGAATCATGTTATCTCCTGGGCAACCCTAGATACTGAGCAATGGAGGCACTCTCCTGGTACAGGTTTAGTAAGTCCATTTTTAGTTAGTCAACCTAAAACCATACATAACCTCACTCAAATCTGTACTTCTTTTAATAGCCATTTCCAAAATTGCATCTATTCTGTTGTTTAAAGAATGAAACAGACGGCAGGAAACTATTTCTTAGAGAATGGGAATACTGAGGTATCAGACCCCTGGGTTTGGGAAGCCCATAAAGGAGTTATCAGAGGCACCCTTATCAAATGGGGCTCTAGAATCAAGAAAGAACGGACCCTCAAAATGGACTCTCTCATAGCAGACATACACTTAGCCGAGGCCACACACAAACAAGATCCCACGAATGATAACTTCCAGAAGCTAACAGCCCTACGCATAGAGTTAAGATCGCTACTAACCGCAAAGGCATATAGATCCACTCAACTGACAAGGAGCACCTTTTATGCTCATGGTAACAAGAGTGGGAAACTACTAGCTAGAGCTTTGAAAGCCAAACGGCAGAGATCGTTCATAGACAAAATATCAGACGACACAGATAGGCAACACAACACTACAGAAGATATAGCCAAGGCGTTCAACGCCTTCTACACAAACCTTTATAACCTACCCCCCCCCAAAACACAGAACCACAACCTGAGGGAATACATCTCGGCAAACCTGCCACGCAAGATCCCAGACGACCAAATACACACATTAGATGAACCATTCACACTAACGGAATTACTCGCCACGATTAAGGCACTCCCGAAAAGTAAAAGCCCCGGCCCAGACGGACTGACCGCCAGATACTATCAAACACTCTCGCAAGAACTATCCCCCCACTTTCTGAAAACATTAAATGGCCTAACCCATGACACCCCCCTCCCACCCCCGATGCTACGGGCATCTATCACTATCATCCCCAAGCCGGGCAAAGACCCCACTAAATGTGGCAGTTATAGACCCATTTCACTAATAAATCTAGACCTCAAACTAATGGCAAAGATGATCGCCAACAGGCTTAAACCCCTCTTACCGCACCTAATCCACCCTGACCAAGCGGCTTTGTGCCAGGCCGCGAAGCTAGGGATAATACCACGAAAATTCTAAATGTCATCCATGGAGCAACGGTGACTAAAACACCTACTCTGCTGATGGCTATTGACGCTGAAAAAGCCTTCGACAGGGTGGATTGGTCTTACTTATTTACGGTCCTAGAAATATTGGGGATGGGCCCAAGACTGAGGAATTGGATACAAACCCTGTATAGGGGACCCTCAGCCAGTGTCAGAGTAAACGGCCACCTATCGACGCCGTTTCCGATAAACAACGGTACTCGACAAGGCTGCCCCCTCTCGCCCCTGTTATTTGTCTTGGCCATGGAGCCTTTCCTGAACGCAATCAGGTCTCGCGCTGAAGTACGGGGATATAGATTTCAGGGAGGGGAGGTGAAGGTATCCGCCTTTGCGGACGATGTCCTATTCACGCTCACAGACCCGACCAAATCACTGCCACACATAACAAACGAAATCGAAACCTTTGGTTCCCTCTCGAACTTTAAGATAAATGCTGACAAATGCGAAATACTGGGAATAGCTATACCACCGTACCTGAAAACACGAATACAACAAAGACATACCTTCCCATGGACTCGGACAGGACTGACATACTTGGGGATACTACTCACCGCATCACCCATGACCTTATACAAACTAAACTATCCCCCCCTTATAGACAAGATTAAACGAGACCTCCAAAAATGGGACCAACCTTACTTCTCCCTGATGGGACGAGTCAGCATCCTGAAAATGATGATTCTCCCGAAAATACTATACCTCTTTCAGGCCCTACCGATCCCTCTCCCAGAGACATTCTTCAGACAGATGCGGACAATTTTCACCAAATACATCTGGGGCAACAAACCAGCAAGGATAGCTTTCACCACACTAACCTCCACCACAGACAGGGGGGGCCTGGGACTGCCACACTTATACAAATATTATGTTGCAGTTTTGCTCACCCGACTAAAGGAATGGACAGACACCAAAAGGAAAAAGTCGTGGTACACATTAGAACAGAGCTTTACACCTGTCCCCCTACACACCTTGCCGTGGCAAATCTGCAGCCTACCGAAACTCACCACGACACGACACCCACTCATACACAATGTCCTCACAATATGGAGAAGACATAAAGACCAATGGAGACTGTCACCGGGACTGTCAAGGTTCTTCCCCATAGCAGACAATCCTGATTTTCAGGGGGGTGGAGGGGGACCACTCCTTTCTCACCTTGTGGGAACGCCTACCCCGGACATAACCGAACTGATAGGGGGAGACCCACCCACGGTCAAGGCCATATATGGAGCACATAGACAAGACACATTCATTGAGGTGATAGGCAAAGCCCAACTCAGGAATTTCCTGAAAAGAACCGCTATTCCCCTCTGGAAACAGAGAGCAGACACGCCCTTTGAACACCTCTGTGGCCCAGAGGGAGACCCCAGACGCCCTTTATCTAAAGTCTACCGCATCCTCCAGAGCCCAATGGAGGAACACAAACCACTATCCTTTCAACAGAATTGGATGAAAGATCTCAGAATTCATATCTCTGACAAAGACTGGCCAGGGATCATGGAAATGGGAATCAAAACCCCAATCAGTGTAGCACACAGGGAGACATTCTATAAAAGAATCACCAGGTGGTACAGGACCCCAACCCGATTACACTCTATATGGCCATCAATCAGTAACATTTGCTGGAGATGCTCCACCGGGCCGGGAACTATAGAACACATTTGGTGGAGTTGCCGAGACATTCAGAGTTTCTGGCACCTAATAATCGCCAAAATAACCAGGATACTTAAACCTCCGACCCGACTTACACCATCCCAAGTACTACTAAGCTGGCCCCGCACATTTACGGAACCCCACAAACAACAACTGCTACACCTATTACTAGGGGAAGCAAACGCCCTTATCCCGCTAAACTGGCGGAATACCAACACCCCATCCGTAGAACAGTGGGTACAAAGGGTAGAACGAACCAGAGAACTAGAAGACATCCACTGGACCTCAATAGGGAAACGACAGAAATACCTCCAGAGATGGGAGCCCTGGATAGGGTTCTGGAATACAGCCCCAGGGGAAAAGACCACCCCGCTCTCCTAGATTGACCACCTAGAGATCCAGGAAATGAGCCAATAGACACTACCGATTACATAACCAACACAAGGACCATGAATACCCACCACACCAGGCAGGTCCCCCTTTCGACCCACTTCCCATCCACTCCCCATTACTCCCCAACCCCTCCGACTGGTTGCTACCCCGAGTTACCTCTTAACCCCCCCATAGGTTTTAGTCAAAGACAACAGCACCATCCGCAAGACGATACCCAAGATGATGCAATAAATCTAAAGCTAACTGTAGCCGGGTTTGTCTTAGTCTCAGGCAAGGAAGGAAGTATATTTATATGCACATATTGTTATATAACCCTGATTTGTTACTACAGAATGCTTCCCTCTTCTTTTCTGTACCCCATTACATGTCTTTCGAAATAAAGAAAAACTGAAATTAAAAAAAAAATGAAGCTCTCTTTTTTACTTGATTGCTTATTACAATATCATAACTATGATTTAATGTAATTCATAATTTAGAACTATTTAAATTTTTTTACAGTATAGAAGTCATTGTAATCTTGAGTCTTTTGCCTAATTATATGTGCTTATTTCTTAATTTGCGTTGTTCATTTGCAATGGCTGTCTAGATGTGAAAGAAAATGAATTAATCTTTTTGTTAATTGGATATTGCTAGGATGCTTATTGGGTTATTAAAGGGCATAGTGCTAGCAATCCATGAAAATGTGCCATGAAAATGCCAAGGGCTGTTTTCTTGTGAAGCTATTAGCATTTAGTGATTTTTTGATTTTTTTTTTATATATATATATATTTGTGTAACTACACAATCACATTATTAGTCTGACAAGAAATCCACAATAACTAAATATTCTAGTTTTTTTTATTTTAATTTGCATTTGGCATATTGTTGATGTTCTAGAAATTGCGTAGTTTTTTTACATAAAGGCATGTTATTTTTCTAAATTCCCTGTCCTTCTTTTCAATATATGTAATATTTTTATTTGTAGATATTTTTAATATATGTGTTAAAGCCTCTTTGCCATTATTTTGTAATGAATAAATATAAAGTGTATCTTCTACCCTTGCTCTGGGGGGTGGGGGAGCATTACTTATTTTCCAAAATCTTGCTCAATTAAATGGTCTAAAACAATCGTGGAGTAAACTTTATAAATGCTCATGCACTTGCTCATGATTTCACAACGTGTGAACTGCACTAGCTCTTGATTACCATTATGGTTTTTGGACAGATAAGCTGTGCTTTTTACTGAAGAAATTTCAATATGGCTACTGCCTGCCGCCATTAAGATAGCGTAAGTTGATCGATGCACTGAAAAAAGGTAAATTCTTATAAGTACCCTTTTAAGAATAATACACATTGAGGCTATAATGCATGTGATCCATTATTTTAATCATAAAAAATGAAGACAGTTTTCCTTTAATTACTTTTATAAACTGGTCACTGAAGCAATGTATTTCCATAACCAAGGAGTTATAAAAAAAATGAAAAAGGTTGTTCAGGTCAAAAAAATTATAAATAATCTTCCAACACGGTTATATTTTAAACTTGACTATTTTTCCCCAAACATTTAGTTTCTGCTGCTAAACTCCTTTACACCCTCTACATGTTTCTTCAAAGTAATCCTTGGTCCTTAAAGGGAAAAAAATAGTAAAGGCAAGTGGTTTGACTAATTAGCATGACTTTCCTAGTAGCATCAATTTATTGGAGTCTGCTGGTGCTGGCTCTGCCCTTAATCTGCTTCCTTGGTTGACATCCTGGAAAAATTGGATTGGCTGAGATTAGCAATTCTGGGCTGGGATGGAGCCAAATGACATCCTGGCCAATCAGCACCATGCAGAGGGTTGAGACACTGAATATCAGTCCTGCACAGGATGCACCTCTAGTATCTGTGGAGTGGCCACGGGAGGTGTCCCTAGACTGTAATATAAACACTGCCTTTTCTCTGAAAAGCCTGAATGGACTGACTATAAGCACCAGAACAACTACATTAAGCTGTAGTTGTTCTGGTGACTATAGTGTCACTTTAAGAATTTATGTTCAGAACTCCTAGTGTTAACATGGATAAGGATATCTCTGACACCTGTAAAAAACTTACATTTTTCTTTTTGGGGGGTGGGGGGAGATTTATTATTTTCTACATTGGCTTTATGTTTCCCCATTGATTGTGTTCTGTAACTCAATAAGAGTTCTTATGACCATCACTCATTGTAAGTTGACCAAATATGATCAGTGAGTTAGATATTAAAAGATTATTCTATGTAAAATTTCTTCAGAGCTTTAATTTATCACTATTAACATACTTTTGGGCAAACACTGGCCTTGATTTAATAAGCTTCCGAGATAACTCGATACTGTAATAAAATCTTTCCAATTGATTATCTACAGAAGTCGCCATTAAAGGTTATAAGGAGGAGCTAACCCTGCAATGTAATAATTGCAGTTTAGCAAAAACTGAGATAATTACAATTGCAGGGTTAAGGGGCCTGGACACTGCACCCAGACCACTTCAATAAGCTGAAGTGGTCTCGGTGCTTATAGTATCCCATTAAATGCAATAGATGACATAGGCATAGACTGGAAACCCAAATATGACTTTGTAGTAAGATTCTTCTAATTATTCTAGATTCTCTTATATGTTAACATCTCATAATAGATTTGTTTTTTTATAGATACATATTGTTTGCATGCGCAAAAAAATTGTAATCGATAAAACGTTTGTAAACTAATAATGCACATCTGATAAATTGAAAATGAAGCTGACACCTAAATGTCAATCAGTTTGCAATATAAGTAAAGGTATTAAAAAACAAATAAAAATGTTATGGACTACTTGATTAGTTTAATAGTAGTAGGAACAGCAGTCATAGCTTAATAGTAATAACAGTAACAAGTGATCAACTTTACTATGTACCTTGAAAAAAGGTACAAAACATAATAACCATCTTGACCCTTTTGCACTATTTGTTTAAACAGATGTATGCATTAAATAATAAAGTCAACGATTAGAGGGACACTATAGGCACCCAGACCACTTCAGCACATTGAAGTTGTCTGTGTGCACTGTCCCTGTCAGTTAAACCTTGCATTGGTAATTATTGCAGTTTTTGAGAAACTGCAATAATTATCTTGCAGGGTTAATGCCTGCTCAAGTGGCTGTCTACCAGACATCCACTAGAGGAGCCTACGGATTGTCAGGGGATTTTTGGTCCTCACACTATGCATGAGGATATCTAGCGTCAGTGAAAACCCTATAGGAAAGAATTGAATCAAATCTTTCTTATGGTGTTGTCCTAATGTGATTGCGGTGATTGCCGCAAATGCGCCCTAGGTCGCCGACACTGGCCAACGTTGGTGAAGAGGCGTAAAAGCGGCACTGGATTCAGGTAAGTGGCAAAAGGGATTTCAACCCTTTCTGCGCTGAGGGGGTGGTTTGTATTCTAAGCCTATAGTTTACCTTTAAGCTCTACAAAATAAATACATATAGTATTATTTAAAAAAAAAGTCATATTCAATGTAAAAAATACAGTGATTTATCCTAACATTAGTCTTCCTGGTTACTATGTACTGATATCTGAAGCCATAAAGAGTTAAATATTCTGTATGATAAGACTGACCCGGGCAGACAGGGTTAAAGGGTTACACTCTTTTCTTTCTCGTTGAAGTGTGTAATATATTACACTACACCATTCTGCAGGTAGTCCTCACATTTAGTCGTACATTATTGATGAGTTCCATTCAGCCATGAATTATGTATATTCTAAAAATCTTATTTTCTTCTTTAAGCTATGCTTACTATGAAAAAAAAAATCATTGTTAGGTGCCGCATTGGGACAATATTTCACTGACCAATGCACTTTATCTCTGTTTTACTCAGTGGGTTTGAATATCCGCAATTCTAAGCAAAGGTAAGTGGTCACCTTGACGTAGTGAGTGCTAAATACTAAAGTGTGGAGATTTTTGATGTGCAACGTGGCTTTGAAAGTGCCTGAGTTTCCTCCTGAATTTTGCTGTGCCGAGGAATCACTCTTAAGCTGATTCTCTCGGGGGTAGGGGTAAAACAAAAAAAGAGAATAATAAGAGAAAGCATATTATGAGACACTGAGCTGAGATAAGCCGGCTATAACTGTGCTGGTCTATTCTATTTTGTAACATCCCGTTGAGAGTAAATACCAAAATCTGTTAAAAAAATTGAAAAAGTAAAATGCAACAAATAAGACTGAATATATGATATATGTAGATATACAATTATACATATGTGGTATATATATATATATATATATATATATGTGTGTGTATGTGTGCATGCATGCGTGTATGTGTGCATGCATGCGTGCGTGTACGTGTGCAGTGAGCGTGTATGTGTGCTCGTAATGTCGGCCAGAACAATAAAAATATAGCAGATGAGAGAAGGAGATAAGATAAAAGACTGAGAGTTCTACAGACAAGACAAGATACAGTGGATAGAAAATGTATAGAAGAGTAAAGGAGGTGAAAGTAAGAGAGAGAGGGAGAGAGAATATTTGATTTGGACAAAATAAGATCAAATAGTGCCAAGCTTACAAACTCTTCTTCAAAGTCAATAACATGTCTAAAACACATCTTATAAAATGAGGTGGCAGAGTAATGCAGTTGTGTAGATATACTGTATCTAAAACAAGGAGCTTTCTATAACTTTTATACCGCAGTATTTATTTTGAACTGTTGTTTCAAACCATTAAATAAATCCCCTTGGTTGTGCTGGTTACTCACAAGATCAGACACAATTGCTCAGCATGTAATAGAATTTATGCAAGTAAAAAGTTCCATCATATAGACCAGAATCCTCTAGCATTCCACGCTAATAGCCGGTTTGGTAGTACTAGGCTATGGGGTCCTGATCAGCAAAAATGAAAACCTGTGTTCATCATTCAACTCTGAGTTGCATGAGTCTGCATTAACTTCATCAACTAAGTCATCCCTGATTAAGTGAGTGCAGGCTCACGAAACACACTGTACAATAAGGAAAGTTTCTAAATGTGAGTTATTTTTCAGGAAGTGCATAATGATGCCATGTGATTCACAACCATGGAGGTGTGGCTAGGGCTGCACATACAAAGTGATTTAAAGGGACACTATAAGTAACAAAACAACTTTAGCTCACTGGAGTGGTGTTGGTGTATAGATCTAATACGTAGAGAAATAGTAATATACAGTTCTAAATTACTTTTAGTGGCATACCTTGTTATAAGACACCTAAAATTTCTCAGACACACTCCAACCATGGTTACACTCCCACTGAATCCCCTAAATTTAAAAGTGTTCCACATTGTCCTTTTGCAATGCTAAGAGGAATGTAGCCCATGGAGCAGCACAGCTAAGGAGAATGGGCTTTGACATTGCTAGGAGATAGGCATGGGAGGAGTGTAATGTAGTGGACTGGATAGCATAACTGGAGGAGAGTTAGAGGAGTATATATAGTAGTCAGTTTAGGTCAGTGTCCATCTTAATTAATCCACACTTACCTGTTATGCCCACCATCCCTCCCTCCCTTATTTGGTCTCTAGATCCCACTTGACAAAGGCCCTAAGGGGTTGAAATGTTGCTTTTTGTTCCTGGGTTCTGAATAAATTGCCTACACTTTGGAGTTCACTTCAGTGACTGGATTATTTTTATTTTGAAATTCTAGATCCCGTTTGGTCACGGCAGTGGAGGATGGATAGAGAAGTTAGGGTGTAGGTTGTTTGTCCTGATGGAAAATAGTTTTGGTTCGCTAAGAATAGTTAGGTTTGGAAGAGTATTGGTAGGTTCAAGCTCGTCGGTAGCTCCGAACGTGGCATGTAGGGTGTATTTCGGTATGCCCCTACATGGAAGAAAGCTGGAAACCATGCCTTCAGTGGCAATATTTATGTCATGCACATGGTGGCAATGGTTATGTCATGCCCTTGGTGGTAATGGTTATGTTATATGTTAATTATATGTTATAATGTGGTTTTACTTATTGTGTTGTGGGTCATTATCTGGCGTAGTATTGTTAAAGGAGTTGGGGTGGGTATGTTATGTTAATATGTGACAATGACCCTAAAATATTTTTACTTTATTTATGTATTAGAAACATAGAAACATAGAATGTGACGGCAGATAAGAACCATTCGGCCCATCTAGTCTGCCCAATTTTCTTAATACTTTCATTACTTCCTAGTCTTATCTTATAGTTAGGATAGCCTTATGCCTATCCCACGCATGCTTAAACTCCTTTACTTCAGCTGGAAGGCTATTCCATGCATCCACTACCCTCTCAGTAAAATAATACTTTCTGATATTATTTTTAAACCTTTGTCCCTCTAATTTAAGACTATGTCCTCTTGTTGTGGTAGTTTTTCTTTTAAATATAGTCTCCTCCTTTACTGTGTTGATTCCCTTTATATATTTAAATGTTTCTATCATATCCCCCCTGTCTCGTCTTTCCTCCAAGCTATACATGTTAAGATCCTTTAACCTTTCCTGGTAAGTTTTATCCTGCAATCCATGAACCAGTTTAGTAGCCCTTCTCTGAACCCTCTCTAAAAAAGATTAATAAAGCTGTGATCATTTTCCCAAATAAAGGTGTCCAAGTATTTGTTGGGGATTTGGTTTGGGTTTATCACGCATATGCCGGAAAGGCGATTATGCAAATGTCATGCTGTATGTAATAGGTATGAACTAGACTTGCAAGAAAAACAGAATATGAGCACCTGAGAAAAGGCAAAGGCTCAGAGAAACCTGCTCAGGTAAGAAAAAAATTGCTCACTTGTACCATTACAGAGAGAACCTATACAATCAGACTAATCCAGTCCATAAGTGCAGTCCAAATCAGAAACGCTGGCAAATTCCGCCTTGCATGAGAGAGAAAACAACCCTGTACAAACATTTCTGCCTTTTTGTGCCTCATCAGTGAGGTGTATCCAATACCTCTTTAGCACAGTGGGCATGGGGTTCACGCCTGGATTACCCTTTTAACTTAGAATTAGAATATGAGAACTCTGAGAAAAATTAGACTTAACTAAATGACTAGTGTCAGATTGGATATAAAACACATCAACCCACAAATTACAGATTCAATTAATTGTATCTACTCCCCTAGTTGTTCTTGTCAACTTTAAAGATGAATTATCCACAATAAAGGTTGATGCACACCCAATGTTGTACCTCTTCATTGGTATAATTGAATTGTCAGTACACATGTTCAATTCACTTTTGATATGTGATAACATACCCAAAGGACTCGTTTTTAAAGTTGTGGTGTTAGTGACCAGCCACTAATTACTAAAGTGGCAGAACTAACTGTAGTGAGCAGTGGATGTTTCCCAAATGCAAAGTCTTACCATTACTCTGAATTATCAGCTGTTAATATAAACAATACAGTATAATGAGAGCCCTTAACCACTATGAACGATTCCAATCCAATCCATCTATGTCATTAAGGTTTACCGGCTGCCACCAACCCCTCAAATATTAAACCTGCTTCTGCTTGATGGAAAGACACAAAAATCAGATTAGCAACTGCAAAATCCCTATACGCAGTACAGGAAAAAATACATGTTAGATTTATGATATTCCATTTAAATCCTAAAGCACATATGAAAGTATATTATTCCATATTAAAGCATATAAAACCATACGAAACCATATTAAAACATATAAAACTGTATGAATCTATGTTAAACCCTTATGAAGCCTATGAAACCATATGAAACCATATTAAAGCTTATTTAAGCGTATTAAACCATATTAACCCATCACTGTGCACAGCAATTCAAGTAAAAAAAAAAACTGTCCAGAGAGGCAATTTAAAAAGAAAAAAACATATTCTTTTTACCAGTAAACTGCATGTGTCATACATTTAACCATTCGCAAAAAAGAAATTCACCTTTCAAAATAAAATAACAAACAGGCCCATGGGCTCTCCATCTGTATAGTTTAATCTCTTAACGTTTCTTCTTTAGCCCGCTCAGGACAAGGGTTATCTGTCATGAAGAGGTTAATACAGGTAATTACTTTAGATCTCGTTTTCCAAATCCCTCTATATAATGATTTTCAAACATAAGAATACCGTTTTATTTCTTTTTACTTTTTTTTCAACATTCTTGCCATTTTTATTCTTAACATCGCATCAATTTATATGTACGAATGGGATCCCTTTATTTATATTCAGAATATTTTTTTTCAGGTGACTGGTATTTAGATTCTCATTTTCACATATATTACTTCTTATGTCTGTTTGTGGTAACATTTACTCTGGGTTTATCTCCTCGGCTCTGTAGGTTTTTTTTATGTCATTAAGTATGTATAGATTCACTTTGTGTGCTTATGATATATTTTACTTTGCTAGTAATATGCCTATCTACCATACAATATTTGTACAAGGTCAGCATAGTGTTGCATGTTCCCATAGAAACTATTTGTGTCTTATTACACACCGTAACTTGTTTATGTATTATTACCAGATGCGGAATGTTATTTTTGTGAAGATATATATTTGTATTTGGTTTAGTATTTGAAGTATAATAATATAGGCTGGAAAAAGACTAGCGTCTATCAAGTTCAGCTTTTTCACACATTGCTGTTGCTTCTGTAGAGCCAAAGTATGATAAAACCCCTAACTGGAAGCAAATAGTGCCTTCAAAATGGAAAATAATCAACTCGCCACACCAACAATTTCTCCCAAAAGAACAAACAATGAATAATATATATTTTAATAATTGTATTTCTGCTCATTCTGCTTTTTTAAATATGACAATTTAAAAAGGTTTTATAGAATGTAATACAAACACCACATTGGGCAGTAAATTCATATTGTTAAAGGGACACTATAGTCACCAGAACCACGACAGCTTAATGTAGTGGTTCTGATGTCTATAGCCTGTCCCTGTATGCTTTTTAATGTAAACTCTGCCTTTTCAGAGAAAGGCAGTGTTTATGTTACTGCTTAGTAACACCCCTTGTGGCAGTCACTGAGAGGGCCAGAAGAGGTGCTTCCTGTGTCAGTGCTGCACAGTGTGCAGCACCTAAGTTCAGCATCTCCACTCTGCATGGAGACTCTAAACGCTCGCCGTAGAGATACATTGATTCAATGCTAGCTGGCTGGCTGGCACAAAAGCCTTCCAATGCGTTCCTATAGGAAAGCATTGGATTGGCTGAGATTGTCAAGATTGAAGATGTCAGCCATGGAGGCAGAGCGAGACTGGCACAGCGAGAGAGATAAAGTGAGTAAACGGGCCTTTTCACTGCAATCTGAGGGGGGTCAGGGACCTAAACAGCCACTTAAGGACTGTAGTGTTAGAGATACGTGTTTGTATTCCTAACACTATAGTATTCCTTTAGGTTCTGACCAACAAGCCGTAGGGCTTTCTTGTCATTAAAGTACTACCAAAAGCACACTTTTTCTGAACTCTTCATGCTGGACATTTTCAATATCAGATGGTCACTATTCTACACTGGGCCTACTCCTTCTTTAAAACACCTGCAATAACCATGTAAACCTTATAAAAGATTCCCTTGTATTTTTCCTGCCTGTTCTGTACAGTCTCATTGTATACGGGGGAAGCTTCTGACTCATGTGTTGAAGTGGGATTCATGATGATGTGCGAGCAATAAACCAGTGTGATTAACAAACCAGTGTGAGGTTGTATCAGAGTTCCAGTAGGTCATCCAACCTGTACATTTCCCACATCAACATCTACAGGCAACCAGGGCCAGGTGCAAGGATTTCTGCAGCCCAAGGCAAAGATCCATTTTGCCACCCCCTCATGAAAGCAAATACAATCTCACAGAGGTTTATTCACTAAACATTGATATGCAGTGAGTTGAAAACCAAATTGCAAAGTTTAAGCAAAAACAGCTGAACTGTGACTGTAGCCAAATTGGAGAATTCTTCTAGATCAGCTATTTGTTGCCTAAATTGTGCCATATGGTTTCCAGTTAGGTCTGCCTAATACACACATACTGCTTAATGCGTACATTCATAAACACACACTACTTAATAGCTACATTCATAAACACACATTGCCTAATACATGCAGCCATAAACACACACTGCCTAATAACTACATCCATGAACACACACTACCTAATACCTACATCAATACACACATACTGCTTAATACCTACATCCATATGCACACTGCCTAATACCTACATCCATACACACATACTGCCTAATACCTACATCCATACACACATACTGCTTAATAACTACATCCAAACACACATACTGCTTAATACATGTATTCATACACACATACCGTCTAATACATGCTTCCATGCTAACATACTGCCTAATACCTACATCAATAAACAAACACTGCCTAATACATGTGTAACGGATCACCTGGCACCCCGACTGGGTACCTCCTTTGAAGGATGCTCCTAGCGCTTCCTGAGGACTCCGAGCACTGCAGCAGACACCACAACCACCGAACCGGAGAAGCATATAAATGCTCTCAAGCATTTGAATGCTGTAAGCAGCTGAACGGGAAAAGCATACAATCAGCTTACACTCCTGGCAATCAGCATACAATCCAATTCCCCCAATAACGAGACGACACTTCGTTTTGAGGTCAAGCAGAACTGCCTGTACTGGCACATCCAGCCTCTTTTATTCACAATCCACAAACATAGTACTGCCCACAGGGTACTGGCACATCCAGCCTCTTTTATTCACAATCCACAAACATAGTACTGCCCACAGGATTTTGAAATACAACCAATCAATCCGTACAATACACACAGACACTCCCACACAAAATCCTCCCCTCTGCCTGTGATATGATTACTGAACACAATATCCTCAGAACTGGGGGATCTGGGTGAACCACATATCCAAGATTCACCCAGATCCGTTCGGTAGTTTGGAAGATACAGTTTAATGCAGATTCCGCAGAACATATACAGGCTATATGAAAAATAATTACTGTATAATGTGTCCCCTGTTGTATAGTTTAAAACTACTGCACAATGTCTTTGTGCACCAAATACCGGCAAGATGGCACTGTGTAGAAAAGTCCAAACAGTGTCTGTGAGTTAAAATGGCCACCATCCATTTAAGCTCTGAATATTGTGAGTAGTTCCACTAATATTTACATAATATCCATATTTTGTTTTCATACTACACCATTGGAGTTTTTCTCTCTCTTCTGTTCTTCCCGCATATTTATATACATTCGAGACGCTACATACCCTTCTGATGGACTACTAGGACCACCATTTGCACATTTGGACATTTTATATTTGGACTATTAGGTACCGTGGTTATTCCAATTTTTATATTATATTTGGACACTTTTTCAGACGTTTTGTTATTGCTGCTATTCCTACATTTATATTATTATTTTGTTATTTCCACTTGTTTTAGGCGCACCCTTATTCCTTCTTTTTTTCTCCATTGTTCTCACCATGTGCTTCATCCATTGTTCTCACCATGTGTCTCTGATACATGAAATGGTGGCCACCCAGTAACTCCACAGTTTGTCTGGTAGTCTATCCAGCCGGACCAACAGATGAAACACATGGGGAACAGCGCAATAAACGAAGGGAATCATCAAAAATATGGACAATAGTCATATTTATGCACAATCTCCAGTTTTGTCACAGGGCACAAATAGTGTTTTCAAATGCCATATATCCCAGGGCCATAGTCAGAAGGTAGGAGGCGGGCAAGCAGCCCCCTCCAAGAACACGTGGCGAGGTCTGTCACAACATGCATCCATACACACACATACTGCCAAATACATGTATCCATACACACAAACTGCTTAATACCTACATCCATACACACACACTGCCTAATACGTACATCAATAAACACACACTGCCTAATACATGCATCCATACACACACACACACACACACACACACACTGCCTAATACATCCATCCATACACACATACTTCCTAATACCTACATCCATACACACATACTGTCAAATACATACATAGTTAATTGAAAACATAATGTATCGCTGTGAAAAATTATGTATTCAATGCATTTAGTGAATTTCATTTATAATGAAAGATCCCGGTGGCATTAGGTGAAGCTTTGGGGGTGCCCAAATTTGGCCAGGTGTGACAGGGCTCTTCTTGGCGCCCAGCGCTGGGGGGGCCGCCATCTCACCTAGCCCTGCGGCCCAAGACAGAGGCAGCCCACCAAGTAATATCCTGGTGGGCGCCCCCAGCAGGCTGGCGCCCTAGGTGAATGCCTAATTCACCTAACAGTTGCGCCGGCCACTGACACACATGCTCACTGACAGTCAAACACTCTCACACTCACTGACACACGTGCTCCCTGGGGTCCAGTGTGGGGCAGCTCCTCACTCCTCCCACCCTCTTTTTAATATGCCAGGCCCGGAATGATGTCATATTCTAACTACTGGCACGTGAGGGAGGGGTGAGAAGCTGCAAGAACAACCTCCCTCACCGCCTGCCTTCTCTTTCCCCTGCTCCTCTGGTATTTATCAGCAGAGCAAGCAGGTGTCTTCTCTGCCTTATCTAACAAGCAGGGGTGCCCTAATTTGGCCAGGTGTGACAGGGCTCCTCTTGGTGCCTCCACCTCTGGGCGCCTGGAGGATTGGCCCAGCACTTGGGGGGCCACCAGCTCACCCAGCACTGCGGCCAAAGACAGAGGCAGCCCACCAGGAAAAATGCGCCCTAGGTGAATGCTTAATTCGCCTAACAGTTGCACCGGCCCTGCATGCAACAGATAATATTAAAATTACCATGAGTTATCTGAGATATTGATAGAATTGATGTGGATTGAGTTAAAAAATCAATGAAGAGCTTATGAAGATTTTAGAACTTGAGCATGGCTGGACTGGTACACCAGGATACTGGGATAATTTCCAGTGGGTCGGCGTGCCTTAAAGTCAAAGGCGACTGCTGCAGCTTAAAAAAACCAAAACTGAAATTGAAAGTGGTGAGAAGAGTCCGAGAGGAGTGCTGGCATCTGTTTTACTATGCTAGGTGAACCCAGCTCCTAAGCTGCCCAACAGGTAGATCCCCAGATGTTATAGAACTACAGCTCCCACGATGCTTTGTCATTCTATATGCATTCTTAAGGCATGCAAAGGATCATGGGAGTTGTAGTTCCACAGCATCTAGGGGTCTGCCTGTTCATCAGCTCTGTCCTAAGCAATGCCTGAAGTCCTCCAAAGAGCACAGGAAGGAGCCTGTGCATCACAATGTGTGACTCCTACTCCCCCAGACATCATGGATACTCTGGACTCCTTCTCCTCATGGTAAGACAGGTATGCTCCAGCAGAATAGTTATTTTGTGTGTGTTTAAATGTTTTTGGTGTGTTTATGTAAATAAATTAGTAGTATGTGTAAGCTGGTGTGACACTGTGTGTGTAAGTGACAGAATGTATCAATGAAAGTATGTGTCAGTGGTTGAGTGTCTATGTAAGTGACATTGTAGGAGTGTGAGGTTCACGGTACCCACGTCCTGTCCACCCACTGTCTATTTTCATTTGCCCTGCTTGTGGATGTATAGTAACCACAGCTCATGCACTGTGTTTGCTTTACTTGGATAGAAGGACGACTGACAGTCCTGCACTCCATGTAATTAAATTCTTCAGCACAGGAGAGTTGAATTCCGGTTGAGAGAGAAACCTCTTATTTAATAGTTTTTTCTTCCAATCTACACATTTTTCTAGCAATCCTGCTAGCACAATGTACAGATAGAATTTGTAATTGATGTGATTTTGTATTTTGTTTTATGCTTAAAATGTTTACATATATATATTTAGAAATGTCATTAATATATAACATCTATGTAATGAGCACTTAACAGCCCATTCTTGTTGCTAGGTGCATTCTCCAGCACAATAATGTATTCACAATGAAGAGTGCACTCATAGGACTTCTAAATCAACAATACTACTTTATATTTTACAGTCATGCAACAGCATGCAGTCACCATTTCAGTGCCATTACCAAACTTTCCTTAACTCCTTAAGACCGGAGGGCGTACTATTATGCCCTATTCTAAGCGGCTCTAAACGCCGCCGGGCGTAATAGTACGCCCTCTGGTCTTTTCCTACTCCCAGGGAGCCCCCCGCGGCACGTCCGACGTCCTGGAAGCCCCCCGGCCATGTGAGAGTGGGGTCCTTGCGAGGACCCCACAATCACATGGCCGGGGGTAGCTGCCTCCTGCATTGCCAGCAGGGGGGCTGCCTGTAATGACAGGTGGTCCCCCTGCTGGCTGAAAATAAAATTAAATAAATTAAAAAGTGTAAAAAAAATAATAATATATACTTAGATCATATATATATATATATATATATGATCTAAGTATATATATACACATATACATACACACACGTACACTGTCTAGGTGTATTTTACTATTAATATATATATAATTATATATATATATTAATATCAAATTACACGTAGACTGATACTGATTAAATATATATATAATTATTGTTATATATATATTTATACATAATATAAAATAAATAAATATGTAAATACGTTAAAAAATAAAATTACAAAAATAATTAAAAATAAATAATTAAAAAATATATAGATGTGTGTTATTTCGTTCTAACTGTATTGTGAAATTAATATATATATATATCAAAATACAAATAGAACGAAATAATATATATATCTATATATATAAATATATACGTATATATCACTATATATATACCTATATATAAATAAAAATATTTTTAAAAAATTATATAGATATATACATATATATATATATATACACATACGTATATATATACATATATTAATTCTACATATATATTTATGTAATATTTTTACATAATTAGGTATCTTAATTAATTACAATTAGCGGGACCTGCCTGACAACCCATGCCGAAAGTAAAGGGAATTTAATTTGCTAGCACTATATTTAACCCTATAACTTTCCAAGACACCATAAAACCTGTACATGGGGGGTACTGTTCTACTCGGAGACTTCGCTGAACACAAATATTAGTGTTTCAAAACAGTAAAATGTATTACAACGATGATATCGCCAGTAAAAGTGACGTTTTTTGCATTTTTCACGCACAAACAGCACTTACACGGACGATATTATTGCTGCGATACTTTTTACTGTTTTGAAACACAAATATTTGTGTTCAGCTAAGTCTCCCGAGTACAACAGTACCCCTCATGTACAGGTTTTATGGTGTTTTCAAAAGTTACAGCGTCAAATATAAGGCTTGCGTTTCATTTTTTTCACATTAAAATTCGCCAGATTGGTTACGTTTCCTTTGAGACCCTATGGTAGCCCAAGAATGAAAATTACCCCTGTGATGGCATACCATTTGCAATAGTAGACAACCCAAGGTATTGCAAACAGGATATGTCCAGTCTTTTTTAGTAGCCACTTAGTCACAAACACTGTCCAAAATTGGCGTTTTTTGCATTTTTCACACACAAACAAATACTAACGCTAACTTTGGCCAGTGTTTGTGACCAAATGGCTACTAAAAAAGACTGGACATACCCCATTTGCAATACCTTGGGTTGTCTACTATTGCTAATGGTATGCCATTATGGGTGTAAATTTCATTCCATACAGTCTCAAAGCCAACGTAACCAATCTGGCGAATTTCAATTTCAAATGTAACGTGCTATATTTGACCCTGTAACTTCCCAAAACGCCATAAAGCCTGTACATAGGGGGTACTGTCTTACACGTGAGACTTTACTGAATACAAATATGTGTATTTTATTGCAGTAAAAGCAAACAGTATTATGACATTGACCGCTAAAATGTCATGTAGAACTAAAAAAATCTAAACAAATCTTATTTTCTCCCATTTTTTTCAGATTAAATTATGTTTCATAGCTAAATATTTGATATTAAATGAAAGCTCTGTTTCCCCTGAATAAAATGATATATAATAAGGGTGCGTGCATTTACTATGAAAGAGTTGAATTATGGTTGGACAGACATGTAGCGCAAATGCCAGGTTTTGTTTACATTTTGTTTTGTTCACAACGTGTACATTTGGCACGGTCCTTAAGGGGTTAATATGTAAAGGTAGTGTAACTGAAACATTGACTATATCAGTGGTGCACGGATGTTTAAAAACTACAGATTCCATGATACTTTGCCATTCTAAACATATGCAAATCTTTATGTGAGATGTAGTTCTGCAAAACCTGGGGATCTACCATTTGGGCACCACTCAACACTGACTATATGCTTATGTAGTCAATGTTTTGGCACTTTTGTTTACTTTGAAGCCATAGGAATGATTTCATTCACTTTGGAGTAGTAGCTCCAAAGTGAAGAAAAATTATCTTTTCCATTTGCACACTATGCCGATGTGTAGGGCTGGTACATCATTTTTTTCCAGGGCTCCTTCCCAGTCCTGCTTTACACATGAGTATCTTTTGTAAAAATGTCTATTTGCGTACTTGTTTAGCAGCTCATGCTGCCCGAGACTGCATGAGCCAGGTTGTAATGTCTTCAGTCATTGATGGGGAAAATCTGTGAGAACAAAATGGCAGCTGTTTCATTTGAGAAACATATGTTACTCTAGATCTCCTGAACACATATTCTAAACTTGGAAAAGGTAACTGAATTGAGCTAAACACCACACGTGGACCTAAGTTGGGCTTTGGGAATGCTTGATAATCCAACCAATAGTGTCAGGGAGAGTTGGCAAAAACATTTGTCAACGGGAATCTTCAATCAGTAGTTATTGAAAAAATAATCACAAAAATACACAATATGACCAAAAAAGTAAAAAAAAAATATTGCAAAAAAAAATAAAATTGTTCTATCTAATATTTCTTATATTTATTTTGACATCTACAAATCAGTGGATAACAACTATAACTGCATTCTTGTAACATTCTAGAAGAAAAACATGCACATAAAATATCACCTGGAAAAAAATAGATTTTTAAAATATACCATAATTCAAAACCATGTGTTATAGTACTTCTAGTGTGACCACAAAAAGAGATTGCACACTATAGCCACTTATAAAAAATATATAAATGTGTTTATTCACCCAAAAAAGGTATACGTGCAAATAACAAAACAAAGTGACAATAAATAGGCAAAATAAATCAACAATAATAGTTACCAAAGTTCCTCAGGCCTACTGGGACAGAAACATGAGCCACTAATACACCCAATTCTTCAGCACCTACTAGCTGACTTTTTCAAGGGTGTTTTATAAGTGGTTATAGTGTGCAATCTCTTTTTGTGGTCAATATAGTTGTTTGGGTACTTCAAGGAGTGCCTGAGAGTATTTGCACTTAGTGGTATTATCTTACCTATGTTGTCTCTCCGTACGGTGTTGTTGTTAAGTACTTCTATTGTTAAATGCAAAATGGAGTAATTATTTAACGTCTGATTTTTTGTTTGTTTGCTTTTTCTCCTATGTTCCCTGTGTGTTTTATAAACTTTTGTAAAATTTGAGTATTGAGTAAAAAAGTAAGTTTATTTTCTGAAAACTGTCAGATCTGTAGCGTCAGCTCCTTCCGTTATTTATTCCAGGATAGGCAGCTCTCTGTAGCGGTGCAAATAAAAACTAATACAATAGATTGCTAATATGATATGTTAGGAAATTGCTTTCATGTCCACATCAAAATCATTTCTCCCTTCAATTCAGCCCAAGGCTAATGGAATAGTGTTGTCTGCCTTGGTAGATTTGTTAACAGCTAGCAGGAAAATCTTTTATGCCGTTACCCAGCTTGCCCTTTTAAACTTACATATAGACTTTTTCCATCTGCTTATCAGTTTTCACAAGAAAAAAAGAGAAGAAAACTAGAGCAGAGTTAAATGTGTATTAGAATTTGGATTTATATAGGGGATTGAGTTTAAAGGTTATGGGCTAAGAGCTTTGTATACATCTCTGTTATTGAATATACCTTTTGCAATTTTAGTGTTAGTGTTAATGTTCACTTGATTATACCAGATGAAGGATGTTTAGCAAGACTGACATAGATGTGTCTAGCAGCAATCAAAACACTAAAAACACCAGTAAAGTAATGAAGTGGTCATGGTGCAATGGTCCTGTCATTTTAACACTTCAAGGTAAAACATTGCTGTTTTGTAAAAAATCCAGTGTTTGCCTTGAAGGGTTAAACACATCTTCAGTAGTTGTTACGCGATTGTTATGTGGTTTTTACGTGGTTGTTACAACTGACCGAGAATAATTTAGACACATGACGCAGATGTTCCTTTAATACTGCAATGATTCTGAACTTTCCTAAAAAAGAGTTTGGATTCATGCTCTTTGTGAAGAATTGGATTGGACCAATAAGCTATGCCTCCTACATAATGTCACGGGAGATAGAGAGGGGAGCCTCAAGTAAGCCTCAGTGCAGGAAAAAGGTAAGTAAAACATTTTTTTAAATATTTTTATCGCACATGGGGGGAGCGGGTGGGGTGCTACGTAACTAGGGAAAGGGATTCTAAAGACTTTAGAGTTCTTTTAAAGTGAATTAAAACCAATTTTCCCCTATCAAAGAAATCAGTTAATCTGTGTTTAAATGTAAAAGTTTAGAAATATTGATGGAGACTTTTAATAAGATAATGTTTTTCAAATGGACAACATCTAGCCACATCCTCTGGGCATGTCTGAAAAAACTATTTTAACAGAAACCCAAAAACATAACTCGTCAGCAATTTCTGATAGAAGTGCACAATCTTCTCTTTCTGTAAAACAAAATGGAAGGCAAGAGTGGAAGGGAAAAGAATGCCTACAAACCAATACACTGATTAGCCACAACATTAAAGCATCAAAGCTCTTTTGGCAGCACAAAGAGGACAAACAAAATTAGACGGGTGGTTTTAATGTTGTGGCTGATCAGTGTATTTGCTAACTAAAATTGCCTGAGAAACAATGTACATCACTGAAAAAATTCTATATGTTTCATTTAGCCAATGAAATATACTTTGGAATATGTGGACCCACACGGGATCTGGTATCCCTGGTAAAACATGCAGACATTTTAATCGGGTAAATAAAATAGGGGAATTAGAGATTGAAACTACCTGGATTATAGAATGTGAAGCTAAATTATTAAGCTAGTTAAGGTAGATGTGCTTTTAGTAGCTAGGATGTACATTATGTTTAGGTTGATTGTTGTTTATTTTGCCTAAATACTTTTGATAAATGTTTTCCTCCTTATGTAGTCATGGAACAAATGTGTAGACATTCCATATATTGTTTGCACATATTAAGATGCATTGTGCATACATCTGTCCTTGAGATGTGTCATAGTTGTTGGCAAATGCTCAATACATACAAATATGAGTAGATATTACAAAGATACATGAGGCTTCTTACAGTTGTGAAAATAAAAGATGACATTTTAGAACATTCCATTCTTTCCCACCAAGAACAATGATTTGATTGTGTAAATTTTGTGAAGGGAGATAAATTTACTTTTTCTCCTTTGTTATGCAAGCAGATTTTAATCAGTTTTGTCTGAGATCCAAATTATATACACAACATTTGCTTTGTTTTCATCATCTAAAATATTTGCTGTTGGCCGTTATTTAAGTATCTGTTAACATTAACATTGATGTTGCTAAAAACCTTCATTAGACTTCTCCCACTGTTAGAGGCACCTTGATTGGACTAAGGAATTCAGTTACTACAGTAAATAGATCCCCTATCATGCAAAAGGATTTATGAATATGATTTGTCTGTCCTGACATGGGAAACCATTTTTGGGTTCCAACACAGATATCAGAACCATGATTATCATTCATAAAGCCCTGGCAAGAACATTTCATACCCACCATAGATACAGTAAAACACATAATCACATTAACATAGGTACATAAATACACACAAATAAATAAACAAAAAAAACACCATGATAGACAATGATGTTTACAAGCATACACAGACACACACTGACACGCATACACAAATTCCCACTTAAGTCATGCACTGATACTCATGCACAAATTCACAGTGATACTTGTACACACACTAACGTGAATACTCCTTTGGACATTAAAACTTACACTGACACTCAGTCGCTTACTAACCCTCATACACAAGTTTATACTGACACTCAACCAAGGATAATCATACACAGACACACTAATACACATGCATAAATAGTCAAACATACTAATCCACATACATTGACATAAATATAGTAAAACCCAATAAATCTCAATATATCTTCCATCTATGACTGTTTAACGGTTGTCTGAGGCATGAGTGGAGGGGGTGAAGAAGTTCTTTCTGCTTTCCCTGGGATTTAGTGTTGGCAGAGCAGTAGAGTTCCCTCCATCGTCCAATCAGCACCTCTGCAGAATGCAGTTTTCAGTATATTTTGCCACATCTCAGCACCCACTTTCTCCAACACATCTGTGCAACACTCAGTGGGTTAGGTAACATCTTAAGCATGGTGACCTGCACACATGATGTCTATATGTAGGAGCCATGTAATTACTGCACTCATACCTGCATTGCCCATCAAAGTGAGATGCCTCGAGCAAGAGCCTTGCTCGCCCTATTTAAAACCAGACTTTCCAAGAGATGTGAACCACTGTTCTATTGCACGACCGGTCTTTGATATATAAAACTTCTTCAAAGTTCCTATATATTTGGCAAAAATACTTAATGCAACCTTTTTTAATTTAATGTGATAATCCCTATTAAATATATTGAACACACTGCTTTGTTCGTAATTTAACCACACTTCTGTCTGCTGCAAAGTAATATTTATTTTGGCACAGGTTGGACTCCACAAAACAAGGAGGTAATTGTCTGAGACACACAGTCCCTGAAAGGCAACCACTATAGAATTGCTTAGATAACCATACTGGATATGAATAATGTTGAGACTTGGTCTGACATCCTTTGAAGTGCCCCTTACATCACTGCAAGTGTTCTATCAAAACATACATGATTATTTTTTGAACTGCCAACTTTAAATCACACAGTATCAGATTTCAGACCATGATTAATTTGTCGATCCTCTTACAGTTAAGTTTAATGAAGAAAACATATGGGCTTTCTGAATGACTGCCAATTGTTTAAAAAATAGGGATATAAAATTACACAGACAATTTTATTCAGAATTCCTGGCAACAGAAATTAGAATGGCACCCAGTGATATACCACGTGATTTATATTGGTTCATTTGAGCTCCTAAATATATCTCTATTATTTCTTCCTCTACAAATCATCATTTATAAACCATTTGACGTTTAGTCTAAATACTATTATGTCTCCCTTGTGGTAGCCAGTCAGGGTGGGAACTTGTTGTTAGTACCTGGTTCATTTGGGCTGCTAGGCATTCATTCAACACTGTTACTTTCTTTATCCAATAGGTGTGTGTCATGTATGGACGTAGCGGAGAATGTGGTAAATCTAAGAATAAAGAACTTACCCCAATTCTCCCCCTAATAATGACAGACACCAAATATTGGGTGAAACAGGCCACAGCATTTATTAAACATACAACTGTAGGACTCATCCGAACTTTATTAACCTTCAATTCAAATATAAATAAGCACATAAATATATATACATAAACCATTACTTAACATATAAATTACCACCTATTGCCCTACCCCCTTTAGCTTAAATAACTGTCCTTGCCAATGAACTTAAACAGGTGCCTTTGCACCAAAACTTGCCCAGTGGGCTCTCGCCTCCCCCCTCGTCCAAACCAAAATTCCCTTTTCCTTTCAATGCTCACCACCAGCCTGCTTTTAGCTTGGTGGGCACGTCCAAGTCGGTAATTGAAAAGTTTACTCTACAGAGCAGGGGAGGTTGAGACCCACCTTGTCCATCTCCCGACATTCCATCTGATACTCCCCAACCCTGTTGGCAAGGACACACTCTCTGCTAGCTGTGACAGAAACAGAAACACAAAAAGAGGGTGGGTGGGAGGGAAGTTGTTTGCTGTCCAGAATCCCAAAAGGCACTGCCCCACTCCTAACCACTCCCCTACACACATACAGCCAATCCCCAGCACCATCCCCACACTCATACATGTGCCCTTGTCCGTCTAGCTGTGCTAACTCTCCAGGGCCTTGTCAGTTCTTGGTGCTGACCAACTCTTCATGTTGACTACTCGTTGATATATATCTCTTTCTGTGATGGTGACTGGTTCCTGTTCTGGGAGCATGCAGTAGTCTAGTAGCCAATAGGCCTTGGTGCTATGTGCTGCTCCTTTCTGACAGTATTTTTTTTCTCATCTCTGGTTTATATGTTGCAGCTGTGCGATGGGTCTTTGGTAAACAGGATATTTATTCTCTTAGTTTATCTAGTATATCTGCTCTGTCTGGCTTCTGCTAGCATACTCTCTTGTCAAGGGTTTTCCATGACCATTTTGTTTATACCTGCACTTATTTCTTGGGAAATACATACAGAGGTGTGGTAATGAAAGTTTATTTTCCTTTATGACTCATGCATGCTCTTTTGTGTAATACGTATGTGACATTGGTTTCCTCTTCTTGAAACATTGTGTAACAAGTGTAGCTGATTCAACCCTTGTTCCAACATATTTTATGTTGCCCCTCTCACTGGGCCTGCTGTTCTAGTAACATTCAAGTAAATGTAGGTACTCACTTTGTGTCCTAGAACAGTTTGTTCCTGGTTCCCTAGCATCTTGTTAATCCAGGCAAGGTCCAAGCCAGCATGACTCTCTTGTTAATCTCATATTATTGAGTTATGTGATTGAGGTATGTCATTGCCCAGGGACACTTACTTGCACTAACTAATGCAGACAATGAAAACATTAATCGTGAAATTCACAAAATGGTAAGAAATTATATTGGAAGTTCTTTTTTCTTTCTGTATCATATTTTATAGGTGCATGTTCTTAAGTTAATGAATATGGGTAGTAAAGATGTATGCTTGACTTGATTATGATCAATACATTCAATAGTCCACAGGAGGGGTGGTAGGCGTACATAGGAAATAAAATAGTAACTGCTGGAAACAGTGAAGTTTAAATTGTCCTACAATGTGAATTATTACACCTTTACTGTTCAATTATTTAGCTACTTAATGTTCAATGTTTAGGATAATTCCTTCATATCATGACATGTCACATGGTATGACTGATCAATAAGGAATTAAACAAAAAAGTGGTGTTTAGAGAGAATGTGTGTCAAAGAAAATATTTCCCCATTTTTTGCAACATATTTCATTGAGCAGACTTACTTTTAACTTCAGAACTTTTTATTTAACTGTACTGTCAATACAGCTAGTCATATAAAACAACAAAAAAGTATTTCTAAAGAAATGTCAAGTAATACAATGAGAAACAAAAAACTAAAGAAGATGCATAGCTCCTCTAAACTTTTAAGGAGAAAGACCACCCAGGACAAATTTGTTCTTGTAATTGTACTTCGTTAGTAGAGGTCATTGAATGACACAAAAAGTCCACTTTATACGAACAGAACTCAAGATACCTTTTGTGTGTCAAGTACAACTCACTGGTGGCGTTTTTATCACTTTTTTACATTGTGTAAAATATGTCAAGGGGGCAGTGGAATAAAAACTGCGCCTCTGCAAAAAAAAAAAAGTGGATAGAAATTAAAAGATTCAAAAAGTCCCTCTTGACCAGAAGTGTTCGTTTGAAAACAATAGCAGCACCGAGACTTTCCTGCTGCTTTTATAAACAGTTTATTGATGTCTGAAGCATAAATAAAAATATATAAAGCATCAAACATTCTAAAAAAAGACAGGTCTCCTTTCACTAAACGCAAAGTGGCAACTGGGATTACAGGCAATAGAAATTTGTCTTTCAATAACAATTTAACTTGTGTATCTGCAAATGTATTTACTTTGAAAAAAATCTATAAAATAAAAAAAATAAAGGACCATTTGTGGTTTATTATGTAAATAAGAAATGTTTTGATTTTTTTTTCTATGTAGAACAGCATGGCTAATGGCTAGCTATGTAGAAAGAAATGTTCACATGTTTTTAAAACCCAGATTGATACTACTTGAAGTAAGGAAGAATTTTAAAACATCCTATTATATGCAGACTCGCCTGCTTACAGGAGACATGACACATTCTGCCATTCACCATCTTTGCTTACCATCTGTGCCAGAGGACCATTGTTGACAATCTAATTATTATTATGTCACCCCCCACCCCCAATGGTATTATAACACATTCAACATATTGTATCAAATAGTAAGACAGATGAACAGATAGGGAGAGAGACAGAGAGAGAGAGAGAAAGAGGGATAGATAGATAGACAGACAGACGGACGGACAGACAGATAGATAAGTGGTATTTTGTGTGTTCCTTATTTTTAGGTCATGTACCAGAGGTATAGAGATCAGATGTCCCACGTGGAATCTGCTGAAGACACTCTTTGAACTGAAGGGATAAAGCCCACTTCTAGGTCCCCATTCCTCTTGATCTGTGTTGCCAGTATTAGGATTTTAAAGCTACATTTTATGTTTGGACTTACCTGCTCACAGGAGATAGGACACATTCTACGGATTACCATCCACCTTTTTCTTAACCGCTGTGCCAGAGGACCCTGGCAACCTAACAACCCTGATTGTTAACTAAAAGTAGACATTTTTACTTGAGAGCTCACAACATTCAAAAGGCATGATTGTGAGACGTAATGCCAAACTTGATAAGTAATGCAGATTTCTATCATCTGAAGCCAGTAACAGGAGGTTGAATTTAAGAATCCTATCCTCCTAACATAAACATGAATACACCTGCTAAAAATGACCAATTTAATAAAACTGACAGCCTGGCCCGTGTCATCCACAAATCAAGTTACATATGAGTATATTATTTATTTTGCTCTCTAGACAACCATAACCTAATAAGCAACGTCACCAAATTGTATGCTAGACTATCATGTGCCTTGAGTACAACTGTTTAAGCATAGGTCTACGCTTCTTTTTGTAAAGTCACGTTCCTGTTGATGCTCTCATTTTAACATTCAATAAGAACTGAAGAATTCATGAGTACATTCACTGGGCCATAAATTAGCACAGAACATCTTTCAGCATGCAGAGCCTTCATCTGGTACCGAAGTGGCAGATCCTTATTATACAGAGAAGAATTTGTGTTTTCATTTGCATTACTTGTGGTATACCAAACCCGCTGGGATTATTGCACATAGTAAAATTTAATTAACTTGACAAAAGATTCTAATTGTTTTCTTCCCTTTATCTTTTGTGAAAGGAGCTGAGTACTACCTATTAGAAAAAAAAAACATATCTAGGCATTCTATTGTGTTGGACTCTATCCGAAAGGGACAACCGTTCTGTTCCGTGGGTGGGCTAAGTTTAATGAAAACAGAGCTTTAAGAGATTCTGTTCAGTTAGGAAGCTTTTATTTTCACCACAACAAAAGAAGAAAAAAATAGTACAAGTGCCTTGGGTAATCGATGGGGCTATTGATGAATGTGTGACGAATAATTATAAAGTCTATATTCAGTACTTGAGGTTACTAATATAAAAAAAGTCTATTAATCCCTTTAAATGATGTATTTCTAATACAAAACTAATGAGCGACTTATCTTATCTAAAAATACCCAACATCACACTGTTTTATTGAGAGAAGCAACCATGCATAATAATTGTATTTTTATCTCATAAAACAAAAATTAAATAAAATGTAATGTGAATGTTACAGCTGCCTATTTAAGAAATTTATTGGGATGTATTAGACAAAAGCTATGCTTACAGCCTATTTTGCAATCTGACCTTTGGTTTACCTCTTGCATTTTTCTTCTGTGCTTACACATAAGAATGGTATTTAAAAAAAAAATAAAAAAATCACAATTTCAGTTAACAGCATTTTGTGTCCAAACCCAAGCTCAGGGATAAAGGAAAAAAAACACAGTTAATGGAGCACTGTCAACACCATAACCACTTTAATGGTCCCAGTCAGTAGTGATGTGGCACCTGCTGTCAGTAGTGATGTGGCACCTGGCATCATAATCACTTCAATATGTTGAAGTGTTCATGGTGCCTACAGTGTTCCTTTAATTCTTTTTATGAAATTATATCCCTTGGAAATAAAAATAAGATATTATATAATTACACCACAAATCAGAGCGTTTACTAGTGATTTAATATTACTGTTTGATGAAAACTCATTAGACTGTTGTTCAATGGATTTATTTATGATTGTTTAGATAGATCTAGGTTTAAATCTTGGCCATCTGGAGGCAGAGAATTCCCAGAAAACAAAACAAAACAAAAATAAACTTCAGTTCTCCATTGCTTGCACCATTTGGAAGCCAGGACAATTGTAATGGTCTAAAGCAAAAAAGTTGACTTTCCACACAATGCAGCAGTCCTACTTTGGTTGTGTCAACTAAATGAATGTGCAGGTCAAGGTGTTTAAAAAAAATTGTTTCAATAGGAAATTATTGTTTTTTTTGTTTTTACTGTAAATTAAAATTATTATTAATCGTTGATGTTTTTGTTATGACTTGTCATGATTTGCCCTGACTGAGGTTCGTTACCTTCATAGGCGGCAGTTTAGAGTGTTTTACCAGAATCTCTCCAGGTAAATCCGAAATGGTTTACTGTCTGAAATAATGGTTGCAGCTAGAAATGGGAATTGCTACCTGAGAGCATGCCTCCCAATCTTAGTATGTCCCACTGCTGCCCTGAGATTTAAGGACCTTCCCTACACAGTGTCATGTGATATTGCCCACTTCGCAGTATGTGATTTGGAAATGCGATCTGCTCCATCATAGATAATTGTTCCTGATCAGATCTGCATGTCATTGATAGGATATGACTGAGGAATCTATGACTGTTGAAGTCTTTTGATCATGGTGGTATCTGCATGTATAAGATTTTAAGGTTTACCCATCATATCGTCTAAACCTGGGGGTGGTAAGTGAGATGGTGCTGAGGATTTGCCACTGTTGTCTGTCATACCACTATCGTAGCAGTGGAAGAGCTCTGAGTGGGTTGCAAAGGAATTATATAATGTGTTATAGGTCCTCACTATCTCACCTACCTTAATTTGTTATTTTAAAGGTGGGCATAATGTTAATCGTATATGAGCAGCTCACTAGTAAAGACAAAATATGCACAATAGTCTAAACTTCTGTCTAGCAAATGTAACAAACATAACTTAGACAGTCTTTTAGCTGTATTAAATATTCATAACATTTTAAAATAATCAATATACACAGTAATGCAGTGAAATTGGAGTATAACATTGCATTAATGAGCAATTTTAAGTGTGAATTTCATTTTGCTACATCATTACCCAGAAGAACTTGTGGCATATTAAAATACTGCAAAGTCTAATTTAAATTACCAAAATCTCATTATTGTACTATATGTAATAAATTAAACTCAATGGGCATGCATGGAAACTTGGAATTTGACCTTAAGCATGATGAATTTTACTTCAGTTTCAATGTGTATGGTAAAGATAAGTAACAGAGACTTTGTAAAGCAAAGTAAGCAGCTTGTTAGACTATCACCTACTCACAAAGCTCTTGGAATCCTAGGTCCATGGACAACAACCTTATTTGTCCTTGATTGTCCTTGATATAACACAGAAATCTCAGTGAAGAATTTCAGAAGGAACATAGTAAAGACATAATGGCAGAGCCAGATTATCCATATGGCATAGGGCCAGGGCTCAGTCAGGTGCCCAGTGATCCCTTTACTCAGCCAGGAACTTTTGCTCTGGCTGTGAGGAGGACCTACTTGAGCTTGAAGGAAGATCATAAAGATCTCCCTGCTCGGTGCAGTACATCCGTCATCTGCTGAAAAGCAGTTAAAATGTTTTAAGCTTAAGTTTTGTTTGCACTTCCTGCCATGCAAACAGGGCAAGGCAAAATTTGACATTCCCCCCCCCCTATGTGACATCACAATGCCCCACCCATATGATCTGCCATATGAACAAATGCCAGTGCTGCATACAGTTTGTGTTTACAATAAAAAACCTGCAGGGTCAGGCTATAGATGCTAGAACCACTTAATTAAGCTGCAGTGGTTCTGGGGACTATAGTGTCCCTTTAATGTGAGGTAAATTAGAGATTAGTGTCACTAATAATATACTAGATTGCCTACTTACAACCAGATGAGGATGATGATGGGTTCTGGCTGCAGTCTGGCTCCACTGGTCTGGTGTAGAACAGGCTCTCTGGAGGCTGTTTGTAACTGTGGTTACAAAATTCACTGTTCTGGGAGAAGGGGAAGCAGCTCCATTTTTGGGGCCCTTTACACAGCTCAAGGTCTGAGTAGGCACATAATGCCCACCCCTAAGTCCACCTACATGTTCCACCCATGAGTTCACTCACAGTGGGTGGAGTGTGTAGGGAATGTGTTATGTGTTATTGTAGAGGATCTAAAGTGTGTGCTTATGGAAAGTAGTGTATAGGGATACCAGTTTGTGTAGGTAATGCAGTGTGTGTGTGTGTGTGTAGTGAATGCAGTGTGTTTTTGTGTAAGGGATAGAAAGCAATGTGTTTGTGTGTAAGGGATGCATTGTGTGCTTCTGGATGTGTGTAAGGGATGCATTGTGTGAATCTGTGTTTGTATGTGTAAGTGATGCAAGGTGTGTTTCTATGTATTTAAGGGACACATTGTGTGTGTCTGTAAGGGGTGCATTGAGTGTGTGTAAGGGGTGCAGTGTGTGTTAGAGATGCATTGTGTTTCAGTGTGTGTTTCTGTGTGTGTAAGGGATGCATTGTGTGTTTCTGTGTGTAAGGAATGCAGTGTGTGTGTGTAAGGGATGCATTGTGTGTTTCTGTGTATGTGTGCAAGGGGTGCATTGCCTTTGGGTGTAAGGGTTGCATTGTGTGTGTGTGTGTAATGGATGCATTGTGTGTTTCTCTGTGTGTAATGGAAGCATGGTGTGTTTCCATGTGTGTAGGGATGCATTGTGTATTTTTAGGGATGCATTGTGTATGTGTAGTGTGAAATAGAGAGTTTGTGGGGTAGGATAGGGTCCTGAGTCCTATCAGCCCCTTTGTGCTTCTCTTTCCCTCCTTTCTCAGCCTCTCTCCCCTTTTGTCCCTTAGAGCTCTCCCCTCCTGTCCCTTAGTTATCTCCCCTGCCCCACTGTCCCTTAGTGATCTCCCCTGT